TCTATGATTCTATGATTCTGTGATATAATATATATATTATAACCTGTCTGAGAGTCCCTCAAACACAGTGCCCCTCTCTCTGGATTTCTGCACATTCAAACTTTTTATCAGACTTTTTTTTTTTTTAAAGACTATAACATGTGTCACCCTTATTTCAATTCCAATTTTTCATTTAGTGAAATGCTAATATTTTCGTATTATACTTGGAACTTTTTAAAACCCCTTCTTTTCAAAGTGTTTACACAGACATAAATATTGATTCCAGACTTGTTCTCGTGCCAATTTCATTCAGAGTTGATTTGCATGGTCAAATTTGAAATTGCTTAAAGGAAAAAACTTTCAACAGCAGCAGGTCTAGCAGAACCTATTTCAGGACTCAGAGATCATCCTGTTATGCCATGAATGCTATCTGGTGTTTTTTTCTATCTGGTGTATATGAATGGTAAAATCCTAAATGCCAACAGAGAGACTCAATCATTAAAAGACAAAAGATTGTTCCTCATCTGCCGTAACTCAAAAATCATGGCATTCCCTGAATTAAAGAGCCCAAGATTATGACCGCTCAGGTCAGTGAAAAGATTCCGAATAGCACCCATGAAGCTTAGATTGAACCTGTATTTTCAGGTGTAAATTAACACCTTATAATGCATTCAAAATAACATATGTTGTGCTTAGGTCCTACTGAGTTCACAATATTTATACTGAAGTATCACTTCTCTTTATTCTTCCATCTTTCTCAAGAAGAAAAACAAGCCTGCCAGTATTTTAATCCACATTACATTTGAGTTCAGCAGAGAGAACTCGCTCTTCTGTTGTACAACTGCTCGGTTCACAACTTCATGGCACTATTACGTATGCCACTGAACATTTTCCTTACCTTACTAATTTAGCCAAACACATTTCAGAGCCAGTCATGTGGTTGGTTTGAAAAAAATAACTGCACTATTAAAATGGAAGGGGTTTAGTTACACAACACGAAAGACAACTGCATTCTCAAATGTGGCACTTGAACTTTCAGACCACACACAAGCGAACTTTGTCAACAGAAGGTGAAGAGCCAGAATATGTATAACCTTTGTACATGAAGGCCATGTTAACCATCACTAAAAATTTTAGAGCATCTCTGTTGGCAAAGCTATTTTTCAGAAAACAGACATTTGAAAAAATCAGTCCCAATAACAAGCTACGTCAAAACACTAACCAACACTACTGCTGAAATGTCCAGATACTTTAAGCCTACAGGGAACGCAGGCTAACTTTTTCTGAATCAATGTATACAGACTTTTTTCAAAAGTAAAGGCAAATTTTTTGCATGCTTACGTCCTTCTGACAGGTGCATTGTAGTTTCTTGACACTCAAGTTCAAGTATCAATGTGTGCAGAGGACACTCATGGCCTGAATTTCCAGTAATGCTTTTTGATACCCTGTATTATTTTCTAACTACGTGTTCATTCCCTAAATTTGGAGGATAATCCTAGTGCAATGCTACGTGCACTGAAATGGCTTTCTAGTCAAAAAAATAAATAAATTAAGGACTTTGCCAGGTCCAAGAAGAGGGATCGCAGATGGCATGTGAACCTACCACTGCGACCGAGAGCTGAGCTGGGAGTCCTGCATCTGTTAAGACCACAACGTTTCATTAACCCACAAGTAGCACAGGATGCTTTTTTGGCCAACATGGTCCTTATCTCTCTAGAGAATATTTTTCTCTTGTACTTGGAGACTGTTTCCCACAAACCAAACTCGCTTCTATTTAAAGGAAAACCGCAATGTGGCAGGTACGCATTGTGTTGCATTCCAGAAGGACAGCTCAAAAGTTTTAATGCCTTAAATGTAATTCAGTATAAAGCAGACTGTAAAGGATATGAAATAAAGGTCACTGTTCCTCAGGATGGTTTTTGCACTCCCACATCTTGCATCACAGGTAAAATTGGGCCTTGGTGTAATCATCATTAAATCATCAAGTTCTTTCATGTACTAGAACGGGATCTTTCACTGCAAGCATCTCACACTTAAGACTGAGCTCAAATACAGAAAAGCCTACTGACACTATAAAGGACCCTAGAGCAGTTTCAGATCTCTCCTCTCCTCTTTCAGAAACCTAGGCAGATCTGAAAACACCATGTGGTGCCTTTCCGGGTCATAGAGTACTTTCATTACTTAAATTTTAACAATATAACCTGGGGGATTTATTGTGTATGTTTTGGGTTTTTTGGGCAGTGAGGAGGAATCTGTCCCAAAACTCAATGAAATAATTTTCTTTTGACAGTCTTTAAATCAGGCTTTAATTGCCCAGCAAAGTGTAAATATAGTAAATAAAAAGGCACAGAACTATGAAAACTAGAAATTTGACTAACTACTAAATTGGTAAAAATAATTTTAGATCTCTATTAAAAGTTTACTACACAATAATTATAGGAAAACTATGCCTTTCCCAGACTTTCTAATAATAAACATTAACTTCCTTTGTGCAACCTGCTTCCTAGCAAAATGTGGGAAAAATGCCAATTCTCATGGTGACATTCAGTTAAAACATAGTTATTTGTAAAATCTGCTGCAAATGTTTTAAATAATTCATCTTGCAAACTTAAGACTAATTATCGCAGTTTTCCTTTAAATGTTCTTGCTCTATGTAAGGTGGCATTTATCTTCAAAAAAAAAAAAAGCTTCTAGCACAAGAAGCAAAAAGGCATGTAACCCAGTAAAAATTGGCAAGCCAAAAGGTTTATTTTTATGTGATTTTATTTTTGATTGCCATATGAAGATTGCCATATGATGACGGTTCTATGGTATAATATGCTTCAAGAATAATTCAAATAAAATCCTGTCCGTGGCACTTGGGCTAACAAAATAACAAAGACTCAGCAGACAAAAAAAATTCCAGGAAGTCATCCTTCTTTTGCCAATAATATAATGAGAAGGCCCCTATAATTTGCTGCCTCCAATCTTAACATGGATGTGTCTGGAAATAGAAAGTATTGAAATCATAGATCTTTACAACATAGGAAAATGGTAACAGCTTTGTCTAAAATGTTGAAAATTGAGGCTTGAATCTAGCTTGGGCACCTGCGTAAACAAATTCATATTAATGTCCTAAAATAGGTGACCAGCTGCAATCTGGAAGAATTTACAATAAGGCTAAGTAGGTTTGTCACGCATGTAGAGCTGAAAGCACGGCATAAGTGGAATAGTGAACAAAGCCTTACTGTAACACGGGCAAGTGGTGTACCGTGTTATGTCTAACACAGCTGCTGAGCTGTGGTCTTAATATATTAAAGCAAAGCTGGCCACTTATCTTAAGAATGTATTTATTAGATTATCACCATCTAATGGGATCTAACAGCACTCTTAGTAGCTCAAGGAAAAGACCTGAAAATTACAGAATTCGAAGATAAGTCCTTCCTCCAATTTACCACTTCTATGCCTTGTTGGTGTGCAAAAGTGCACTGAAACCCCAGAACAGATTTTAACATCTGCCCGTGTCTTGTTAATATACTGCAGTCTTCAAATTTACACAGAGCTGCAGTTCTCCTGGTTTTTCTCAAGTGTCACTCATCTACTTTAGCATGACAGCTGAGAAACGATGTCAGATGCTTTACAGTTCAGTTTAAAAAACATCCTCTACCTGGTATCTCTGCAGTGATTGTCTTGCTGCTCCCTGAAACCTCTTCATCATCAGATGATGAACTCGTGCTCGAGTCACACGTCAGGTCACTATCGCTGGTACTGCTGTCCTGCAGCAGGTTGTACTTCTTGCGAGCAGCTGCCTCTCGTTTCTGTCTTAACAGCCGAATTCTTTCTTTGTGCTTTTGGCTTCGATGACCTTTTACCTTGGTAACTCGACCATTCTGCTTATCACTAGACTGTCGGTTTTTCTTGGCAGCCATTGTTGAAGTTTCACTTTCGGACCTGGATCTCCTGGATTTCCTCCCAACTGCAGCCCCAGACACCGCAGAAGGATCTCCCTCAACAGCAGCTTCGGCTTGACAGGGCTCATTCTCTTCGGTGGAAGACAACGTATCTGAGTCAGCCAAATGCCCACTGGAAGAAGGGGAAAGCATACAATGATTAGAAGAGTCACTCTCGTAAACTCGACCACCCGTTGGCTTATCACTCTCTGTAGATGCTAGCTGAGACTCCGAGGAATCTCGCCTCAGTTCCATCAGTAAGCAAGGCATCGAAGAGAGCACCACAGAGTCTGCTGCAGTGGGCACATTGTCTTTCTGAGGTTGTGTCTCCAGTTCTAGAGCTCCGTCTTCGTCAGGAGCAGTCTCTTGCTTTTCAGAAGTCTTTGGTGGAACTTCCAAATCAACAAGTTCTTCCGCTTTTCCCACTGCCTCCATCTTCATTTCAGAATTCCAAGGTCCTCCTAGTCTCAAAGCATGGAGCACGTGGTTTGGAAGACTGGGTGAACGAGATACAGACTTCAACAACACAGCAACCTGCACAAGAACAGAACAGTAAGAATAATTTACCCAAATAATTCACTCAAACCTGCTCTTTACACTATTACCTAATCAACTAATTGCTTTCTATTCTAGACAGCATGGTTTGGTATCATATTGATTTTATTCATTTGCTTTTTTCTTAGAGAGCTCATCCTGCTTCACTGAACTATTCCTCCTTGGTATACATCCATCAAAGATGGTACTGGAATCCCATTAAATGTGGTCCACCCTCACTAGAATAATCAAAACAGACCAGAAAACATTAAAAATAATGGAACGGTATAGGTTGGAAGGGACCTCCAAGATCATCAAGTTCCAACCCCCCTGCCATGGGCAGGGACACCTCCCACTAGCCCAGGTTGCTCAAAGCCTCATCCAGCCTGGCCTTGGACACCTCCAGGGATATTTCTAAACTATTACTTTATAAAATGTAAACCAATATATTACAGGCAACATCTACTAAACTTCTTTATCTAGAACTTTAAATGTAGTTTATGGAGAATTTTAGCCCTTATGAACAATGCCAGCCTGAAAATTCCCAGACTTGGTAGTCATCTACCCAGACAGACCAAAATACAGTTCAGTTTCCGTATCTATGAGAAATCTACTTTCAGTTGAATAGGACCTCAACCTTATAAAATTACAATGTGTTTATGGTAATTTGCAAACTTACAGAACCAACATGACATAGGAGAACTCCACTCACTTTAAGCCAAGCTGCTGAACATTACAGAGCAAGTCTACAAAAACGTTCCTTTTCCAGCAGAACTGTGTTGCCAGTAGATCTTACGTACCAAAGACATATTTACAAGTGCCATCAACACTAAACTGTCAGAGACATAACCCCATGCCCATATGAACCTCCAGGCAAGGTCTTCAGAAGCATTAGCTATGTGTAACACAGATTTGTTCACAGCAGAGTATCTAATACACCATTCAAGTGCTCCTGGAGTGTCTTCTATGCAAGGCCTGGTTGTATGAGAACCTACAGAATGACCTAGTTTATCCCAAAATTGCCGGGAAAACAGCATCAAGTACTGCAGGCTGCAAGCAAGAAACAGTATCCACCCACACCAGTATCCTACATTTTACTTCAAGTTATAATTTAATAAATGGCATTGCTTCAGTGCAAACAAAAACCCAAGCTATTTATCTGATTGATGACTTGTGTGTCATCAACCAAAAAGTACCTGAAGCACCTTCAGGGAAATTTTGTTTGAGAGATCAACACTTATAATTTTATTTTCATTATTCATATCTTGCATTCCACCTAAATTTTCACTTGGAATTTAACAGAATAAAGATCTTTCTGTTATCACATTCACATACAGATGAAGGGTATGGAACAAATCGTTTATGGGTTTAGAAGTACAGTACATGATAAATTTTTGGCACTTCAAAACAGTGTAGTCAAGAAAAAAAGAACCACACACTGTTAAGATTTAATTTACTGTTTTTTAAAAAAATGCATTTCTGCAGACAAGGGCAATTAGTACTTGAGCAGCCTGAGAAAGCATGGATGGTTCAGAGAGATTTTTCTGTACCCTGACAATCCCATTTCAGTTTCCTCATCCATCCCAACTGCCTGTAATTTTACGTATGTAATTGCATGCTGCTTCCCCACCTCCATCTGCAACACAGAATGAGGCTACTTCCCTGCTTCTAATAGGTGCTGCGAAAAGTTCAATGTTGTCCTGTCTGCCCTAACCCACTTTGAAAGTTCATTTTTAAAGAATATTAAAATAGAGTTCATGCTTCCTTCAGGCTAATGAACGAAATGCTGGATGGTGCAAAGAAATTATGAAAATATTTATGGAAGAGAAACACCAGTTAAAAAAAGAAAGCTCAGTTAATATCAGACTATACAAGTAAGATGGAGTTGATAAACCTAGGTCTGCTAAATATGAAAAAAAAAAAACCCTAGCCCCCAGTAAAACCAGCATTTTATTTAAAAAAAAAAGAAAAAAAGGGAAGATATATTGTAAATACAGGAGAAGACCTATAATGAAAAGTGTTTCCCAACACTTGCACTGTGTAAAACTCTCTTGAAAGCAACCTAAAAGAAGAATTTCTGGACATGGTAATTTAACTATAAACTATTAACAATAAATACCATACAAGAACCAATTTATTTCCAAGGCCACAGCACCACATCAGCAAACCCAAATGATGAATACACACATTCCAAGACATGAACGCATTCGAATACAGTAACAAAATCAGTATTTCTACATATGTTATCTGCAAATCTATATTATCAAATAATTCTCCAATTATACAGGTAAGTAAAACACAGATTTGATTATGAAATACTCTGGCCAAGAGTTAAACACAGTGGAATATCTTGTACCTGCTAGTGCAACTTTGCTCTGGCCTTGCTCTTTGAAAAATATCTTTTCTAAGAGTTTTGAAATGTACATGCAAAGAAAAATTTGGTTGTTCAAATATATACAAGAAGAATAGTAGCCGGGCCAAAAGAAATTTATTTAAACATTCATAGTAACAACTGCAGAAGAGCTTCTGCGCTATTCATCCTTTTAGCCTGGGGAGCACAAAAAACAGAGCTCGACACAAAGCTAAAGGGCAGCCGATGCGAACTCTTTTTTCAGAAACGTCCTACTTGGGAATATCATCTACCTCTCTGCTCCCAAAGGGACTAACTATATGAACACCTGTACTTGGTTTTTCAGCTCTCTGGCCTATCAGCTGGGGAAAAAAAAAAAAGTTTCATTTACACAGGAACACCTTGCTAACACTCTATCCTAGACCTAAGTCGACCTAAGACGACTTTTTTGTTATTAAGCAAGATCTTGCTTTAACTGCTCAAACCGTGCTGGTTTGATCCCACATCCAGGGATCAGTGAATTATATTTTGAGTGAGAATGTAGCATAGGGACTAGTAACTACACAAAAGTATATTTGGTCAGCATTGATGTGTGTTTCTGTATGTGTGGAAAAAATACTTGCTCTGATGAGGTCTGCACTCTCCGGGTCCCTCGAACTGGGTATTTTAAAAGTCAACAATTCTTATATTAGTACATCTGTGAAAAAGAACTTGATATGTATCTCAGTGGAAAAGTCTGTCGTGAATCAAACAGACTTTGCTGCAGGGAAGAACACAGACAGTTCAGGTGAAAATATGTATGCCAAGGAAAGCCTTGTCTCAAAGAAAGATAAAACATCTTGATTTAGTTCTCCTTGAGAAAGGTATAGATCAGAGAGCAGAAGAGACTATAGTGAAAAATTCCCATTCCTTTCTTGCCACTCACTTTTCCAGTAATAGCACCAGAAAAGGTAATCTCAAGGTGATGCTACAGAAAGACCAGTTTCTTACTTAAACGAGAACGTATCACTGAAAAAATAAGCTGTGATGCTTACGCACACAGATGGATAGTTAATTAGACATTGCTCAGAAATGTCATTCTCCCTTTTCTGATGCACAGATACTGCACTGATGATTTTAAAAGGCAATTCTGTAAAAACTTCTGTGCTAGATTTTTCCAACAGAAATTATTTTATTTTTCAAGCCACACAAAGAACACACCCATGTGTAAAAGACATTAAACACCTAACTGGACCTTTACCTGGGAAACATTTTCATCCTTTCTTGGGTAGAGTCACTTCACAAAGCCAGCAGAAAACAAAACAAAAAAATAAATTTTCTGCGAGAGCTGGCAGGAAGACGAGGGAAGGGAAGGAAAGCAACAAACCATCCCTTTAAAAGAAAAAAAAAAAAATCTGATTAAAAATTACCTGCTGTTTGGTCTCATCATACTTTCAATTCACAGGTTCCAACTAGACAGAGGAGAGAGTACCAAGTGTCTCTTTCACAGAACTGTTAGCTCTAAGAAGAGATTTTTGAAGATAAATTATTAAAAAGCAAAAAATTATATTCACACAGCGGTGTTAGTTAGCTTCCTAGAGGACAACTATCATGGAATGTATGGTATTAAGCAACATATACTACTGCACAGAGTTTTATCAAAGATGGCATGCATGCCCTCTATCAATCAATAACTGGCCACTCATACATCCTTCATCATATTTTTGTTTGCTTTGCTCTCAGTAAATGTTCTTTATGATTGTAAATCCCGCATACCAGAAGCAAATGAGAGTTGCACAAACAAAAGCTAAGGCCTGAAATACTTAATAAACACCATTCTAACCTTACCTTAATTGTACATCATCATTTTAGGTATTATTGAACTGATTTATGATAAATAATGCCTAGCTTGTATGAAGCAAACCAGCTCTTCTTCTCAACAGCTGTAGATATGACAGATTCTTTCTTCAGAAGTACCAAGTTTTTCATAACAGTTTGCTGTTAGAATTCACTTTAGTTTCTTACTGACACATTTCCTCTTTTTCTGAATCCAACAGACCACTACTTCTCACTGCTTACAACTGTATCACCTTCTTACGCCAGTTCTAGCAGCTGTTTAAATTGAAAAAACATCTATCAGGACATTGTCTTTTAATGCCATTTCAGCACTGAAAGAAAATAGTTTGAACAACCTAGCTCAACAAGGTACAAGTACGTTCCTTAAGCTTCCGTGACTATGTAAATGAAAAGTTAAACTGCACTGCTGTGTAGGAGTTACTTGTTCAGAACACACAGCTAACTACAGAGATCGTTCCAGAGCGTGTGCTACTCTAGAGAAGTCAGCATTTTCATCTAAATCTGAATATGGTTTCGTATTTGTACAGAACTAAAGAATATAGCAGCTCAAACTAACATGAACAATTCTTTCCATCACCAGTGGATTACACTATCTTACATTTACCGAACACAACTGAGCAGAGATGGAATAAACCAGAGGTGTGAGAGAGGTAATGACAAATGTATACAACTGTGGCTAATATATTATGTAAAATAGTTCACCTTTTTTTTAAACTGAAACACTCAGGCAAGCCCATCAAGAACTCAATCAATTGACAGACTAAGCGTCTAAGGATAGAGGGCTGGGAAAGGACAGGAGCAGCACGTGATCTGG